TAAATTTTATATCGTTCATTTTTATCTGAAATAACAACTATGGGTGAATTATCATTACAAAATTTTAAAAATTAGAATGCTAAAGACGATTAAAAAAACTCACAAAAATTCGTCACATTGGTCCACCAACTAAAAAACTACTACTAAACGATTTTTATAGGGAAATTGCCAAATATATTTCATATAACGATTTATTCGAGATAAGCCATGCTATGAACTTGGTCCGACCTACTCCAATTCCAAATAGAAGCGTATGTGAGTCAAAACATATCGTTGTGCCAAGTTTCGTCAAAATAACTCGACATTGTGACCAGTAAGTTGAACACAATATTCATGGACAGATGTCTGACGGATTGACTTAAGCTCGGAAAGCGATTCTATGTTGACGTGCAATGAAAGTTAGATATATCTAAAGCCCAAATTCAAAGAAGAAATTATTGCCGGAAACAGCGGTAAACGAAATAGATCGCCCTCGCTTACTGCGACAGCCCGACTGTCGCAAGAGTTGCAGGATATACCAATTGAAATTTATCACTACGAAGCCGCCTAGTGAATATGAGGAAAATAGTTTTTCATTGAATTTTGACCGATACACTAAGCCATCGTAAAAGTCGACCTCATACCAATTCAGACAATTCTTCCTCGAGTGAATGGGAAATCGTGGATAATAACTAATAAAAGAGTTTAAAACTTAATTTAAAGCTGAAAATTAAAAATGTGAAAAAGATTAAAGCAATGGTGAGATGTAACTATTAGAGTAAGGTGTTTACATTCATTTATGTGGAATCAAGAAGGCATTTTGAGAAAATCATTCTAAAACTCAAGAAAAGACTAATGATATATTACTTATCCTTATTGTTAATATATTTATGTAGAAGAATCTATCTGTCACTAAGTACTGAATTTCAAGATTTTCAGAGTTTAATTATAAGCACGCAAATCCCATTAAAGCAGTTGATTTAACTGCTTAAAGTAATGAATCAAGTTTCTGCTCTTACTAATTTATTTTCGATTGTATTGTAAGTGCGTAAATAATTAAGACTACCTATTCTGGTTAAAAATTCATTGTTTATTTTATTATCACGTTTTATTCGATTTGGATACGGAAGAAACTCTACTCTTTTAAAATAAAATAAGTTTGCGTATCAATCGCTTAAAAATTTTTCTACATTGTTTTTGTTATTATACAACGTTCTTAAAGAGCCATTCTCGCAAGAAACTAGTTGCATAGTAACCAGTAAGTGACTAGTGGCTGACTAGTAACTAGTGACCGATTGAGTGAATGAGCGTTGCATTCATATAGGTATACTCATTTTGCAAAAGGAATCTTCAGAGGCCCTCTAAGGTATGTATATTAATTAACGTAAAATTCTGCAATGATTAAGCCACGTCTGTCCGTCCGTGCGGTGTATGTTATAGGCATTCTCCTGGGCACAAAAAGAAAGATATCGACTTCAAATTTGGTAGAGTCATTGGAAGTTTCTGCACGCAGATTGGTATTGAAAATGGGCCAGATTGGTCAGAGCAGAAGCGCGCAGTGGAAGGTAAACTGAACGCAGCTCAGTTTTTGCTCGTTACTGAGCAATTATTAAAATTAAATAGTTGAAATTTTCCACATTTGCGTTACGAGACACTTTACTCTCTAGATCCAAAAATTGAACCAATAGGGCGTGTCCAGATAAAGTTACAAGTAATTAAGTTTAATTTTTCCACTTTTTTGAGATTTCATGCTTATTTCTCATAAAGCAAACAAGACAAAACTCTTAAAACTATTTTGAAGATATATTATCTGTCCAAAAATGGGTTAGTTCTAAAATGAATACGGTAGACACCGCGATTGCTTTTTTCTTAATAATACTAGCGATATGGGTATGAAATAAACGGCCTTGGAGAGCAGATTGCGAGAAGTGTATCAGTGGATATGCAAGATTTGGCTACCGCCGAATATAACTTTCTTACTTGTTGAATATCTTAATTTAAGATGGATAGTGTTCATAATAATGTAACGTTCGCATAAAAATGTTAGGTGTGGGTTCTGTCGGTCTGATTTAACCACGACCACATCGCAATAGCGTAGTTGTGGTCGTAATAACGGCCCTTATTCGAGAACACATTTGGCAAAAGAGAATCTCGTAACAAAGAGATCGTGAAAAGAGATGAAAAGAAGAATTTTACGAAAAGTTTTTTCGACTTTAAAAAACTTAGCAGGGAGATAATTTGAAAAGTTGAGTAGATTTGTCCAGCCAGATAAGAAGCAAAAAAGAAAAGTTTTTTTGTTCAGGCAAATAAGAAGACAAGAACTTTTTTAAATTAAATGAACAATTCAAGTAAAAACCACAACTAAAAACTGTCTATGTATATAAATCAATATTGTCTGTGCATGTGAATGAAATAAAATGAAAAAAAGACTTTATTACAATTGTTGTTATAAACAGGAGGCTGAGAACGGTTATTAGTGGACTAAGAAGGAACCAACGAATGACGCACAGGACGGACAACAGACCGAATATTTTGCACACGCTCTACCGAGGCCTGAGCTATGCCCATGGCAATAACTTCGTGAGACAGGCTTTAACGTCCCTATCCGCTTCTCTAGGCACTTTGTCTTGATAAAGCTTAGTCAATGCAAATATAATTACGAACTGTTTAATCCCCTCACAGTTGTTAGCAAGAACCTAAACGACGTATATCGCTTATTCCCATTACCGGACTCTTTAAAGTCTATTAAAGCAATATTGCTTAATATGCGTGATTTACCTATGTCGTACTTAAACTAGTTCTTAATGTTAAAAAGTCATTGATTCGAAAATTAGTAGATGTTAACTATTATCGGTTGCCAAGCTTATGCATGTTTGCGATGGCTTAGGGGTTCACTTGTAATTTGGTCCTGTACCGGTTGTGGGTGTGGTTCTATGCTAGTTGTGTACATGCTTTTTTTTCTTTTTCCTTCTTATTTGTTTTATTGTATTTATACTAAGTTTTAATGTTAATTAATTTACTTTAAGAGTCAATTGAACTCGACTGCCATTTTGTTTTAGATGAAGTGGAATAAATGATGTATGTTGTGTATTATTATTGTAAATACTATTGTAATTTTTAATTAAGTCTATAATGGTGTAGGCCTAAATGGGAGCCAGCCATTTCAAACAATTAGAAAAGCGCTTATCACGGTACCCCAAGGGTGGTGCGGAAAACCGTGAAAACCAGGCTCTACACATTCTTATACTTTGCGCTTATGTGGAAAAAGCCGCGATCTATTATTTTCTATGTATCAAAAATTACGGCGCAATAATTTGGCGGTAACATCCGACATGAGGCACAATTCAAAAATATGCGAAAATCGAACGGCAGGTCTCTAAAAATTTACTAAAACTAGTCAGGATGCGTTCAAGGGTAGATAAATGCTCTTTTTTTATACACTTATATATTATGTAAACCCACTTGCACGAACATATCGAAGAATTAACAGGAAATATTCAAAAATATGCGAAAATCGAATGCCAGTGATTTGAATAATTTGGTTGCATGGTGCTCTTTGAATCTTCTGAAACTAAATCTAAATAAATGTAAGAATCTTTCTTTCTGAAGAAGAATTACTCAGTATTTCATTGATTCGCATAAGTTGGAGGACGTCGATACGTTCACAGATTTAGGCGCTCTATTTGACCATAGATTACGTTTTAACTTGCACATAGAGCTCTCGTTAAGCAAAGCTAGGTTCGCGCTTGGTTTTATAAAGAGGTGGTCCAAAGAACTTGATGATCCTTACATTACGAAAAGGCTTTACATGTGTTTGGTTAGACCTATACTTGAATATGCCTCTGTTGTGTGGTCTCCTTCATATAGGTGCTACGTAAATTCAATTGAATCTGTTCAAAATCAATTCTTGCTGTTTGTCCTTAGGAATTTGGGTTGGGATTCGAAAATAGGTTGCTTCTGTTATCCTTACCGTCACTGGAGAAACGTAAATTTGTTCTTGGAGTTTCCTTCCTAATCCAATTAATAAATGGTACAATTGACTGGCCCACATTACTCAAATTTGCTCATGAAAGTCGATATCGATGTGAAATTTATGCTATATATTCGAAACTTCCAGAAATTCAAAGGGCAAATCGTAGAGACGCATGCCTCGAGTCTTACTTAAATAAAATTAGGTCATTATTGAATAGACGACTATAATAAATGGCTCAGACTTTGTTCGGTTTTATTATGGCTAATTGGGATTGAATCATTTTTTCATGAAGCTATATCCCTTTTATTTCAAAATTGTTTTTTTGGAGTGTCTGCCATCTACATCTACTAAACTATTGTTAGCATTTGTTTTAAATTTCGATTTATTAGAGATAATGCTGAATGGAAAAAAATGAAAGAAGTAATAAAGCTAATTATCTGACTACAAAGCGAGTGGATCTTCAAATATGTATGTAATGGTGATTAATTTTTTTATTAATGTGCAGCTCTATTAGATTGACTTTCCCGTTTCGCCTAAGAATGGCAAAAACCAATATTCCTAGTCAGAATTTAACTTTCAATCCTGGTTGTAACGGACAAAAATAGATATCTAGACATGAGTAATTCGGTTGGAGCATATATATTATACGCGTACGCTACTAGCCATCGCTTAGTGTCAATGTTAAATAATTAAATTATTTCTTAGCTTAGAATTACCTATTTTCCACTCTATTTTAAAAACTAAGAAGAATTTAAAACTCGTTGCGTAATTTAAAAAATGTGAATAAAAATTATTTGTCTAGTACTTTATGTTTACAGGTGTTATTTGCACGCATTATATGCATACGTTGGTGAGATGCTCCCACCAACTTTGCCAAAGATTACAACAATCATCGCTAATTTTCCAGAAGCAGGTTATTCGTCATTTGAGACAGGGTTAGCTACTTTGAAGCGTTATTCCATAACTGCGAGGTAATAATATTTTAATTTATATAATGTTAATCAAATTGGATTGATTTTATGTAACCTGTAATATGTTCTAAGCGGATAATAACAACTTTTCTATTTACAACGAAAATGGGCTATTACTCCATTAGAGTTCGAAATAAGTATTCTTTTCCAGTATTAAGTTCGAAATAAGTATTCTTTTCCAGTAATAACTTCTCTGGCGAAAATTGTTATACACGGTAATGATAGATTTCTAATATAAAACAAAATCAAATAAAAAATAGTTTTTAATTTAAACTAACTAAATTATCAAAAGCAATCTCCACCTGCTAGTCGACAGTCCGGGAAAAGGGAGGCAAAAACTGGTGAACGGCAGTTATGGTGTAGGATTTGTGCAAAGACTGGTATTCGAAACATTACAAATGCGCTTCTTAATGAGGATCCTTTTAGAGGCGCTGCTAACCAAGAGATAACTTTAAAGGAGACTATTGAACGATTCTTTGCAGTCAAGGTAAGTATTTAAAGACAATTGCGGAACATTTGCTACAACTACAAGTCTAAAATTCGAAAGATTTGAAAGTGGTAGTGGATACCCGAGATTCGCTCGAAGGCGAATATAATTGCTTCATTTGCATATTTTACTTTCAGGGCACTATGGAAGAAAAAACATATTACCGTTCGGTCACAAAGCAGGCTATGAGCCGGTGTGAGGATCTCCATGAGGTGCCTGCGAATGTGCGTTTTTACCTGTCTGCTTTTACGCTAATCGTTCTCATCGGCCTGTAGGTGCAGGACGCGCCTGCGAATGTACATTTGGTTTTTCCTTCTTTAGGGAAAATTAGCTGCAATTAACTGGATTTGGGATTTTCGGAGCACTACGCTCCACTTAATCTTGTTCGTCCCAAACAAGATCGTCTCGTCGTAGACTATGTCTTTTATCCTTGTGATGATTTTATATGGACATTCTCAGTCATATCGCAGTTTTGGTGACATACCTTTTTTACATAAAGCATTGTACAATAACACTAAATCCTCTTCCTTAAATCCAAGTGCGTTAGCCCTCACGTCATACCTTGCTTTCATCCTGTCACTTACGGTCTTCTCTACATGTTTCTGCCTGCCACAGTCATCCGGCATCCTCGATTTAGCTCCTTTAAGATGGCGTTTATTCTATACGCCCGCTTCACTGTTGATGGGCAACCTCAAGCACGTATCCTCGCTTCAAAATTTACAATGCAATGTGCAATGTGCCCAGGTTTGTCGCAATTGTAGCATTTACGCGCGGTTGCTTTTGGTCTCTTGTTCTTATTCTGCCTCTTCGTACATTCTTCACTAATATGCCGTGTTGGTGATGTGGAGTGTGTTCTTGATCGGCATTCCCGTGCAAAATGACCAGGTTTTTGGCAGACATAACACTTGCGTGCTAATGAAGCCGACACTCGCTTATCTTCGCGCAGGACTTCTCCAACCGCCGCGCAAACCACATCCGAGATACCGATCTCGCTGGTAACTTCCGTACGTCTCACCTTCATGCTTAACATCCACCGGCTGCTTCTTGTGTAAGCGCGAAACGAAGCGTTTCCGAAACCGTCGTTTTCGGTGAATTCCATACAGCTCTTTTAAGGTCTGCGTCGCGAGGCCCTTTAACAAAAGCATCGATTTTTAATCTTTCAAGCACGTCGTCGGACACAGCGATATAAGCGAGATTGGCCAAGCGTTCGATTTCGGTAGCGTAATCTTGGATGCTTTCGTTGAACTTCTGGAGAGCGAAAACAACTCTAGGTGGCTTACCTTCTCACATGTTTGCTACCATATTTCCTTTCCAGTGCATCCACAATTGCAGCAAATTCCGTTCTTTTTCTTTCCGGGATTATCTGGATAATCTCCGCTGCTCCTCTCAAGGAAGTTATTAAGGCGGCTGCTTTGTCGTCATCATCCCACATATTTTTTGTTGCAACAACACCCAATTGTAGCCTCAAAGTGTTGAAGTTAGTGGTGCCGTCAAATAGGGTTGTTTTTATTTTGATAGAGCTGGTAGTTACGTCATTAATTTGTAGCTTAGCCACTTCTTTCTTTAAGGCTTTTATTTTACTTTTCACGGCGCCTGCATCTTCTTCCTGGGAATTTATTTTTGCATCCAACTGGCTTATCGCATTATCAACTTTTTCTGCCAGCACATTAACTTTGCCTTCGAATTGCTGGTACGTTCCGTCTATATGTATCCGCAGGATGCGTTGATTTTTCTGAATTTTCACGTCAATTTTTGATTCTATCTGTTGCGTTTGTTGTTGCATTTGTTGTAAAAACTGCATAACTTTTGATATACTTGCACCATGTTCTTCTTTTTCTCCACGTAGCTGCATTTTCTGTTCCTCCCAAGTTGTCGGCTTGCTTCCTTTCCTCGATATTATATTCGAATTCAAGTATGGACGGGTCCTGTCCGTCTTTTTCTAGCTGTTCGACCAGTCTTTGTTTTAATTCAGCTTTGCTACCGATTGTACGAAGGTTTCTTTTTCCCAGCTCCTATTTGAGCCGATCCACTTTCAGTTCTTCTAATTTCTAGTAACTCTCCCTTCCAAAAATATTCTATTTATATACATTTTTACAAGCGTATTACTATATAAATTCATAGCTTCATTTCTAATCCCTGTCTGCTTTTCCGCTAATGGTTTTCTTCGGCCGGCAACTGCACGACGCGCCGCGAATGTGCATTTGGTTTTGCCCTCTTTAGGGAATTTATTATTTGGGAAAATTACTGGAATGAACTGGATTTGGGATATCAAAAACACAAAAATTTCCTACAGAAGCTTTTCTTTGAAAAAAATTCTTTGAGAAAACCATTAAAAGAAAAGTTACTCAACCTAAACTAATTATCCGTTTAAAAGTTAAGACAATAAATTGCTTTCTTCTTTTGTTTAACCTATAATGGAATCGTTGTAAGCATAGATTTTTACCCATAAATTCTGTTCTGATGTTGGCGATAATTATTCTAATTATTACATATGACATGAATTGGTAGTCGTACTTTTAATTCCCATTTTTAATAATCAAATCGATTAAAGCGCCATAGAGTTCGGGGCGCATAGATATTCTTTGAAATTTCGCTGACTTGTATTTATTGTAAACAGCCTTCAATTTAACAGTCCGCGCATTACGAACAATGGCAGCGATTTTTTTGCCTATCGGTTTCAAGGCGATAACGCGAATACCATTGTAGAGAAGGTGTCCAGTAAATATCATCAAGTGCCACAGACAGCTTTGCATTGCCTTTTAAGATATTTAAGGATAAACAGAAAGACGAACCAGCGATCTGCAAAAACAAATATTGGTAAAGTTTTAACAGAAAGAAAAAATGAAAAGAAAACAATAAAAGGCAATAAAATTCACTTCAGATGGTTTATAATAGGCCATATTGATTCAGATATCGCCAATTCAATTAAGTACTTAGACATGGCATATTGAATGTCCTCCGCTTCAGCGGCTTTTGAAAAGCGTCTTAAGAAATATATGGGCAAAGGCCGCTATAGCGAATTCAAAAGAAAGCATATGAAATTGTTTACAAATCAAAGAGAGGTGTAGCGAATTCAAAAGAAAACGTATGAAATCAAAAAGAGGTGTAGCGAATTCAAAAGAAAACATATGAAATCAAAGGGAGGTAGAGCGAATTCAAAGGAAAACATATGAAATCAAAGGGAGGTGTAGCGAATTCAAAAGAAAACATATGAAATCAAAGGGAGGTAGAGCGAATTCAAAGGAAAACATATGAAATCAAAGGGAGGTATAGCGAATTTAAAAGAAAACATATGAAATCAAAGGGAGGTATAGCGAATTCAAAAGAAAGCATATGAAATTGTTTACAAATCAAAGAGAGGTGTAGCGAATTCAAAAGAAAACGTATGAAATCAAAAAGAGGTGTAGCGAATTCAAAAGAAAACATATGAAATCAAAGGGAGATATAGCGAATTCAAAGGAAAACAGATAAAAAATATTTTCGTTCAAGATTTTTACAGAACTTTTTTGAGTGGACGAATAATCACATTCTTTATTAGGTTATTATTCTTATTATTTTCAGCTCACATGCAACAGTATCACGCGCTATTTCAATTTTTACTTGTCTCTCTCCTACAGGATGAAACCGCTCTAATTGATGACTAACTAAATTGCCGCAAAAATTTCGTTATGCTTTCTTTACCGAAATGTTATGGTACGTGTTAGCCTGCTACGTTTACGTTTTGCTCGGTCATTCGCATTTGGATAGCGAAACTTCGCTAAATGAAGATGAAATGTGTTCACGTCCGCACATACACTTAACTCATTATGAGTCGTTCGGTATAAAAGAAATTTTTATGTATTTGTACGATTTACCCCCGCATAAAAAATGTGTTCCCGAATTACTTTGAGATCCGATGGCAATAATAAAAGATGTGCGCACATTGGTAGAACGCTATTATAAAAACAAGCCCGAGTTGGCGATAACAGGAGAGTCGGTTTTAAAACCGCCTGGAAAAATGCATCCACAATTTCAGCTATACGATCGGGCGCGGCTGAAACAAGAAATCAAACAGGAAATCGTTCGGAAAAATGCGGAGATTATAAGAGATTAGCAGCAATTGGAAGCTGCGTAAGCTGCTGGAGTATCTACAGTGACGACTGATGAGAATGGAATAATAAGTGCTATCAAAAAGGAGCCAACTCAAAATGTAAACCCCCCACAAGTGATGTTTATTTGGACTTATGCGCAATTTTAAATTGTACATTAAAATTTTAAAGACCTAGGTTATATAATAATATAGCGACCAACGAAATCAAAAAGCGGGAGGTTTAAATCTCTTTAGGTTTAATATATATTTTGAGGCGCCCAATATTTGTTATCAAGCCTAATTGTATAAGAAATTATGAATAATTTGGAAGACGAATATGCTAATAAAAGTGCAATACATAATTAACTAAATAAAAGGCGAATAAATTTTGAGCATTATCAAATAACATACTCCTGTGTGAAAAGCATTCACATAAAGACCTTTTAATCGACTATCGAAACGTTCCACAATCATTCTTCTTCAGAAAACCACAAACAAATGTACATTAATTATGTTATGTATGCTGTTTTTAGCTCTATTCCATTTTCCTTTCATTTTACCCTCCCTTTGGATTTGGTCTTTTAATATTTGATTGCTGTGAATCTAAATGTGCGTGTGTTTGGCGGCTTGCGCATGGATTTCATCCATACTTTTGCGCGCATTCTCGGTCATATCGTCGAGAGAACGCCGCGTAACCGGAATAAGATCATCTTTGCTTTTAGCAGCTGTCTCGGCAATTCCCATAACCCATTCCTATCATCCATTCCAGCCCCTGACGATCTTTGCCAGCGTTTTTACTGATTGTATATGTTAATAAGTCCTTCATATATAAGATAGGGGAACACCACGTACACCCACTGAAGTCTCTTGCTTTAAGAGAGTTTTCATCGTATATGTGGGGTAAGGTTCATAATATAGCATTCATCTACGGATATGTGTCGACAAAATGTTATATTAATAGTTTTCAGCATCATTTGTCGTTTGTTTGGATCTACTGTAGAACGCTCGCTAGCAAAACAAATTTTCGCAGAGTTGATGGGTCCATTGCGGAAAATACCATTTTGATTGTGCCAAGCGGTGCGTATTCAATACTCCATCAACTACTTTACGTTCCACAATATCGGTACAATATATTTATGAGCAACAAGAAGAAGACCTGTAAGATATATTTATGAGCAGCAAGATGATTGCCTGTACAATATATAAGCAGCAAGAAGAAGCCCGGTACAATATATTTATGGCAGTAAGATGATAACCTGTACAATGTATGAGCAGCAGGAAGAAGCCTGTAAAATATATGAGCAGGAAGAAGAAGAACGGTACAATATATTTATGGTAGTAAGATGATAACATGTACAATATATGAGCAGCAAGAAGAAGACCGGTGCAATATATTTATGAGCAGCGAGATGATAAGCACAAGTTGCAATTCAATCCAATCAAAGTGTGTCGTCTTCTTCAATTTTTTCTTTTATTTGTTTGCATTTGTAACATAATTTTGACATTCGCATTTCATTCACACTTGACACAACACGTCGTCTCCGCAAACGGCAGCTGGATAATTTTTGTGTTTACCGGTGTAAGTGAAAAAAAGGGGGAAAAAAAGAAAGAGATTTTAAATATTTGAAAAAAGGAAAAGAGGTTTCATAAAGTAATAAAATAACCAAAGAAAACAATTTTAAGAAGGAAAAGGAGGGAAGGAGGAGGAATCTCTTGTGAGAGAAAAATTAAGAAGCAATACATATATTCAATTAATATTTTTTGTTTTTTCTTTGTGATTTTTTCTTTTTGTGTTCCCTGTGATAACAACCAAAACAACATCAGCCCGTCTCCCTATGGAGACTGGGTCTGATCTTTTAACTACTAATAGAGACTGTTTTGAAAATTTTTACATGAACGCCACTGGGCACACCAAGAGATCGAAAATGGGTGAGAATAATATTCTTTTATCTGATAACGGAGAAGCTAACGCAAACGTTTTAATTCCGCCTAGTAAACAGGCTACCGACAAGCCCTCTGATTTGGGTGCCACAGCCGCCCCAAATCTCGAGATTAATTTATACGATTGCCTTTCCAACTGCAATTTTGTCGTTTTTGTCGAAACGTGCGCGGACGCAGAACGAAATCGCATCAATATTAACTCCAATCTCTATTTCTATGATTACTTGAAGGATTTCGGTATGTACGGCTTAAAAGAATTAAAAGTTGTCAGCAGGGGTAGAGCCAAACTGCTTTTCAGCTCCGCTGCCAATGCCAACAATTTTGTTATGAATAATGAATTTAATAAAAAGAATTTAAAAGCGTACATACCGTCGTTCACTGAGAGATTTGGAGTTATTCGAAACATCCCATGCACCTATAGTGTCGATGATATAATTAAAAACGCCATATCCGATATTCCGATTAAGTCCGCTGTCCGTTTCCAAAGAAGAAATCCCAACAACAAAGACGAGTGGATTCCCACAACCAGCATCAAAATTGGCTTCAAAGGGGGAGCCCTCCCTAAGGCAATAAAATTTAACTATTATAATCTGCCGGTCGAATACTTTGTACCCACTTTAAAGCAGTGCTTTAAGTGTGGCAGATACGGTCACGTATCTAAATTCTGCAAAGCTAAAGAGAGCAGATGCCTTAACTGTGGAAAGTCTCCGAAGTGTGTAAATTGTGAGGCGATGAAGTGCTTGTCCTGTGGCTCAGGTGAGCACAACGCTCTCAATAAGTGTTGCCCTAATGGGGAAATTGAATTAAATATCGACAGGATAATGGCGGTTAAAAATCTTTTGTATAAAGAGGTCAAAGAGAATTTTTCCGAAAATTATTTCGAATGTCTCGATGACATCACTTATGACGGCAATTTCCCTCCACTGGGGAACACGTCTGCAATTTCGACCAAGGATGATAATCAAAATGCCAACAAAATCTTAACCAAAAATAAATACAATGTTGTCGTCCAAAGGAAATTGGTTCCTTCCAAATCTCTTATCAATTCACCCACCAAGCCTTCTCCCAATACACCCCCCAAGTCGTCTGGAACAAGCCTTCTTGGACCGAAAATTGCAAACAACTATTTGCGGTCTTCAGAACTTGAAAGATTAATCCTCGCGATTCAAGAAAGTATCCGTCCGATGATCCCTCACAATCTTATTAAAGAATTTGAAGTAAAAATGTCTGTCTGTGCTATTTCTTGCCCCGTTCGAACATCCAGTACTGCGAGGAAATCCGCTGGGGTTCTTTCTCAAGTTTTAACATGATATCTTTTTTACAATATAATATTCAAAGTGTCCGACGTAACCTATCTTTTCTAGATTTTTACTTAAACTCAAACAAGATTGATTTTTGCATCTTAAGTGAAGTTTTTCTGAAAGATGAAAATTGTCTCGAAGTTAAAGTTTCGAATTATGCCTCAGCCACCAAATGCCGAAATGATGGCTATGGTGGTGTTAGTATATTAGTTAAGAAAGGTGTCAATTTCAGACGTATTCCCTATAACTCTGCCGTTGACATCATCATCATCAAAACCATCAACCTGAAACCGAATCTTTTCATAGCCTCATACTACTTTCCACCCAGTCTCGATGTGCAAACCTTTTGTGATGAGATTCAGAGATTATGCGACTTTCTTGACGGTGAACAAAATGTGATTCTAGCTGGAGATTTCAATGCAAGACATCGCCTGTATGGCGATCAAGTCTCTACCAACAAAGGCAAAATCCTTGTAAATGCCATCAATTCCAGCAGTTTCAGTGTCTTAAATAACGGCAATACTACCTTTCACTGTAACCGGAGCGGTCGCAAGGCGAGCAGTGTCTTGAATCTAACTTTCTCGAACTCAACTATTTTATCTTTCAACTGGAACACGTCCAATGTTTCCAATGGCAAAAGTCAGCACTCCCCCATTATATTCCACAGTTGTAACAATTCCGTCAAGAAAATAGAAAATTTCATTTCACGCAACTTCCTTATGGACCGTCTGTCTAAAGTTGATCTTCCTTCTGATTTATCATCAATTCAAAAAGCCTTTCAGTCTGTGATCATGTCTGGTAGAATCAACTTTCCTGACATTGAGTCCTTCTCACCTAAACCTTGGTGGAATCCTTCCCTGTCAACACTTTTCCGCAAATACCAAGCTGCAAGAAAAAAAATGAGTAAATATGCCAATCCAGCCAACTACACTGAATATATGAAAACACTGAAAGAATGGAGGTCTGCAGTTAGAAAGGCGAAAAGGGCACATATAGCCATCGCTATTGAAGAGTTATGTGGTAACGGCAACCCACGTTCCTTCTGGAATTATATCAATGGTCATCGACATTCTAGTCGAAAATTAAGCGTTTGTGCTGTATGGAATGACCGTGATAATAAAATATACTTAGATATGCTCAAGAGCTACATTCCAATTGTTAATCCTATTACAATGCCTTCAATTCCTTTTAGTAGTATCAGTAAAACACCCTTTTCATTGCATGAGCTAATGTATGTTTTACATTCCAGAAAGAGAGCTACTGCTGCAGGTTGTGATGGAGTCAAGTATGACATGCTCAGAGCACTGTCTGGAGGCAGCTTTAGCATGCTTTTGCATGCAATTAACAACTGCTGGTCCACCAACTTTATACCCTCTGATTTGCGTTGCATCAAAATAGTTCCCATTCCCAAGCCAGGTAAAGACTTAAATGAGTTAAGTAGCTTCAGACCAATTTCACTAATATCTGTATTCATAAAGACCATCAACCTCATGCTTAAGGAGAGACTAACTGCTTTCCTGAAAACTAAGAACATTATTCCAGCTCGGTCTTACGCCTATCAAAAACGCAAATCTACGAATATGTGCGTTAATGAACTGCGTTTTCTCTCAGCCAGCTTAAAAAACGCAGAGAAAATGGTTGTCATGCTCTCCCTGGACATCAGCAAAGCCTATGACTGTGTCAACTTGATTAAGCTCGGTAGAATTCTCCTGAACTTTTCAATTCCTCTTCAAATGCGGCTGTGGATACTTAATTTTTTATCCAAGCGTGTGTTGGTGATGAGTACCGAAAAAGTTGAAATATGCGGTGGTATCCCACAAGGCAGTTGTTTAAGCCCCATACTCTACAATTTATACGCACCTTCTTTGCATGATCTTCAAGATGACAAAACTCACATTTTTCAATATACAGACGATTTTCTAATCGTATCTGCGGGCTCATCTTTTTCAGCAGATGTCAATAACCTCTCGATGAAAGCGAACTTGTTTTTCGATGCATGCGCTGATCATAATTTATATTTTAACCCCAGCAAGACAAACACTATTTATTTTGCCAAAGGTTCTAAACGTGAAATCAGACTTCTTATCAAAGGTACCCAAGTTAATCAGGTAAAATCTCTTCGATTTCTTG